AAAACAATCTCTCTATTATAACCGCAAACGACGCGACCAACGATACGAAGTCGGTGATTTAGTATGGAAAAAGCAACGCGTGCTATCGTCCGCAGATAGACACTTCATGGCGAAACTAGCAGATGCATTTCACGGTCCCTTTATTGTCACCAAGCGCATATCAAATGTGGTTTATGTTCTAGAAGATTTACAGGGGCAATCGATGGGAAAGTTTTCGGTACAAGACCTAAAACCTTACCATGCACCACTCCAAGATAATCCAGACTAACCTAAAGTAATAAATTAGTTACAGTACTTAACAAAAATCGTTACAGAATTTAAAATGTCTTACATAATTAACGTTACAGTATTCCTCACGACTCAGTATGTTCAACATCGAGTTTTAACGTTTGTCTTTGTATTTGTCTATATTTGTGTTTCTTGTGTTCCTGTACACCAATTCCAAATGTGGTATTTTGGTATAACATTCACGTCCAGAATAAGTTACAGTATAATCTAGTGTTCCAGTATTTTCAATAAAGTTACAGTTTTTCAATAAACGTTACAGTAAAATCGTCTTATTACCGTCCAGGTGGTGGATCCTGTAAGTGTATTCGAAAATCACAATAAAAGAATGTTACAGACTCATAATGGAATACCCTCCACCTGACTCCACGTGTCAAATGGATGAGGCGGAGATTCTACAAATCTCCGACTCGGAGGACGACCTATCGACGATAGACAGCCTCGATAGCCACCTTCTTGGAGAAGAAGAGGACGACATCCGACCGCCATCGTCACCAAATTCGTCGAGCTCCTCAAGCATCGAGGTGATCGAGATGGGTGAACCGAGAGATGAGGCGGAAATAGGGCACAATAGGGATCTGTGGGAAGAAGAACGGGAAAATGGGGACTGGCCAATGGAGGAGGAACCTCAAGTAGCTGCACCCGAAAACCAACCCGAAGAGATTCCCCAAATTCCAACACCACCCCCTTGGAACCCGCCCGAGCCAGACATCGAAGGTCCAGACGAAATCCAGGGACCGCCGGAAGAAATGGAGATTAGATTGGAGGAGGACCCTTTCTGGGATCCCATTCGACCGTTCCTGCCATCACTGGTATGGTTAGAACAATTCAAACCAGGATTGTTCCGATCGCTGCAGGAGATGGTGTTAAGGTGCAGTCACCGAGACAACACTGAGTGTCCCATCCGATGGCGGACCAACCTAGCTGGGAGAACAGCACTTGCAGGCGAGGTGCAGGACTGGCCGCTGCCGGACCCTGTGATGCACGACCAAGCAACACAAACCGTGTCCAGCAGAAAGGAAACCGCCACCCAAACGAGGAAGGAAACCTGTCCGGAGTCTTCACCGGAACCCCTCCCAGAACCATCTAGGGAACCAATGCCGGGGCCCTCTACAGCGGCGATGGAGTGGGAGTCAATTTCGTCGGACTCAGAAAGTAAGGAAGGCCCGTTCGACAAATTTCGGAAGCAGGGCCAACGCGATGAAGAGCCTGACTGGTGGACAGAGGGTGACTCGTCGAGTTACCACTCAGATTCGAACTTCCGACAACGAGGGCAGAAACACTGGAGAAGGGCTCCACGTCGAAGGGTAAAAGAAGGTACCCGCATCTGGCCATCCGAACCCACGTGCTTCCGGAATAGTAGAGGAGAACCAGTTTCAGGTACATCGACACCAAGACCAACTTCTATCCCATTACCAAGGTCAGCTCCAAGCCCCTCACCAACACCAGATCCAGGCCCATCACGAGGACCAACCCAAGGCCCAGAACCAGTTCCAGGCCCATCCCGAGAACGAGGCCCAGAACCAGCTCGAGGTCAAGCACCAGGTCCAGAACCAGCCCAAGTACTGGTCCCAACCCCTCGACGCCTCTGTTGGAATTGCCAGAGGCCGGGTCACCGCTACGCCACCTGCCCTTATAAACGGACCATCTTCTGCCAAATGTGTGGCCGACGAGGGTACACGGCCAGGAACTGTCCAAAAGATGCAGAAAAATGGGCGGCGATGGGACCATACGTCCCGAAGTTTGGAACAAACATCCCCAGGGACCACCACCATCCATACCGGCGACACCGTTAAGGCTAGTGCTAGGTTTATTAAAATAAGAATATTGTTAACTCATTTTTCATTAATTTTTACTCATTCTCACTCATTGTTCACCCACCTTAACTAAATTATATCCACTCAGGATAATTCACTTATTTTTCATTAATTTTTCACTCATTTTCATTCAAAATTCACTTGAATTTTTCACTTATAATTCACTTGAATTTTTCACTCATTTTCACTAAAAATTCACTTGAATTTTTTTCACTTATATTCACTTATACTTCACTTAATGTTTAATTATATTTGACTTCACTTGCGATTCACTTGATATGATTAATCTATAATTACTCATTTTTCACTCTATTTCATATTCACCGTACATTCACTATGTTATTTAATTTTGACGGGGGGGAGAACACCCCTGTGTTACAAAATTTTTCCTGACTCAGAAAATTGTAACTTGAGTTAAATCCACATTGTAATGACTCGTGATAGAATCCCATGATTTCTACAATAACTTTCTCTTTTGTGATTAACACAATTATTATTATTATATCTTTTGAAAATTTGGTGACAAGGCGTCGGAATGACGCGTTACAGCACAAGTGCGTTAATTTGAAAGTAAATCTTTGCAACATTTCTGGAAGCAATTTGTTTTCGTTTTGTTTACGTTACAGTACAAGTGTGTTAATTTAAAAGTAAATCGTTGCAACATTTCTGGACGCAATTTGCTTTCGTAATATTTTTCATAATTTTCACTACTCTCATCTTAAACAAACTTAAGAATTTTACTTCTCAATCTGAAGCGACGCCTTCATATTCATAATTTTCTTTTCCGCAGACTTGGATTCTGTTGCCTTTGGAAGTACCTACTTGGAGTCCCAATTTCATAATAAAATAAGATAACTTTCACCACTTTACTTAATTCACTTAATGCACTTAACTCACTATAACTTTCAATGTATTATTGTCCCTTCTTTTACTAATAATCCGGTCCTGTGTCCCCATGACCATTGTTAATACAACATCCATCGCTATCATACTATTTGTACCATTAGAGTTCAGTCTCTGAGATAAAAAGTACTTGGTGTCGAATTTAAAAGTTCTGTAGTCTTATCTGAACCGATACTTCCAATCCCCAATTTTCATTACTATTGGTACCATTAGAGTTCAGTCTCTGAGATAAAAAGTACTTGGTGTCGAATTTAAAAGTTCTGTGGTCTTATCTGAACCGATACTCCCAATCCCCAATTTTCATTACTATTTGAACCTAAGTAGTCAATTGAGAGTAGTCCCTTTTTTTCGAACCTCCAGAGCGTTAGCTCGGTATCGGGAGTGCACCTTGTGAGATTTAGTTTTATCGTAATAGAGTTTCGTTTATATTTATTGTTATGTCAATAACCGTTTAGAGTTCAGAATAGTTGGTGTCCCGATTTTAGAGGATATTTATTCACGTATATTTTTCCCTTATTTTTTTTCCTTTATCTTTCCGTTAAGAGGCGAGTTGCTTTGTCAAACGAAAGCGACTTCGTTTGGCAAAGAAGCTCTCCTTTTGGGTTAATTGACAGATTCCATGGTCAAGAAGGTCGCAATCTTGCCATAGGAAAAATCGTTTTAGTTTAAGTATCATAGTATTAGTAATTCAGAATTCTGGGAGAAGCAAGGTAGGAGAAAACCCCCTTTTTGTATGAAAATATCGAGAATACCGATAAGTCACCTAACGCCAAAATTCAGTACTAATTTCAAATTAAAATAATTCTGCAAAACCTTTTGAATCTCTCTCTTGTCATCGACCCCTTGTTGTGTTAACATCGTTAGTTAATTTCTCCGGTTTTTAGTAAAAATGTAGCGGATTTAGAATCAGTTCTAGTTAGTTACAGTTTAATTCTTTTATGGTTTCGAATTGTTAAATAATATGTTACAGTGAGTTTAATATTCCAATTAATTATTAGTTTAATGTTTACTTTAATAAATAATAAATTAAAAGTGTAAAATGAAATCATGATCCCTATCACGAGTCAACTTATCATCGATACAAAATCTGTAAGTTATTTATATTATTTATGGTTCTTTGTTATATCCCAGAATACTCAAGTAATTCTGCTTATGGTTTTTTATTATTTTAATTATTAATTATAAACGACAAAATGATCATCACTATTTATTGTAACTTGTCAATTGAATTTCGTTGGTACAATATACTTAATTATTTTTATCTAATCGATTGTTAATTTATTTATAATTCCGTCACTGTGTTTTAAACTACCTTCTCTTTCTTGAATACAAAACTCACCCCTCTCTCCACGACCAGCATAGCTGACTAGTACCGGCACGTGCGAAAAATCTAGTTAATATTAATGTTTGTTTAGTCGGTCTTAATTAAGTATTGAGTAATGTTTGATTTAATGATTTTTGGTTAATTATGTTTTAGTCCGGTTGACAATACCGGCGATACAAAAATTGTCTGGCGCCCTACCGGGGACCGCCTAGACAAATTATAAAGAACTAGATTGCACAAGTAACGTTTTCTTTGGTTAAATATTGAAGTTCGGTTAAAATCAGGTTTTAAGTATGTAAAATTGTCTTAGAATTCAGCTACAGTAACTTTAAAATTATAGTTTCAGAACTATTTTGGATTTGTAAATGATTGTTTATTATTAATGTTCCATATTTAATTTCCTTATAATAGTAGTGTAGAAAAAACCGTTACAACACATAAAAGATTTAAAACCCTAAAATTCACCACCCCCACACAATAATGACGATACGAATTAAAGAAATTAAACAAGCTATTTCAATCAATTTTATTATCAAAAAAATAAATAAATAAATAAATAAAATAATAATAATAATAATAATAAAATGAATAAATAAAATAAATAAATAACTAATCTTTGTGAAAAAAAAAAATTTTTTTGCTTCTTTACTTATATTAACTTTGAATTACAGGAACATTATTCACTGAGACCCACTAACAATGGCCGGTATTACTCCGTCCGCTAATCTAGTCACTGAGGCCAACGACTTACAATCACTGACAATGGAACATTTACAGGAATCACTCTCCAAGTCGCGGGACAAACTCAGACGTTACTTTTTCACGGCCTTATCTCTTGAAGCCACCTTGAATACTGAAAACGTCAAATTCGAAAAATTAAAAGAAAAAATTAGATTGCTGAAGATTAATATGGAAAAGATGTCCGTCATCACTGCTCAACCTAATCACGGATCACCACCAGAAGAACCTACTAGGAATATCTGTCCAAAGTGTAGTCTTCAAGAGCCTAAAGACTCTGCCGTTAGTGCCGAGACACAAACTGACGACATCAACCCCGAACAATCTACCACAGAGGCAAACTTACCCCCTGTTATAACGATTATTGTTGATCCGCCTACTGACGAATCGATTGACGTCGAATCCTTCTCGCGATTCACAAGATCCCACTACAAGTTCTGTCGGAAATAGATCTAACAAGAGAAAACTAGATTCTCAGATTATTATTTACGTTATATTGAAAATTTTGTTAAATAACGATTAAATTTAGATCGTTAAAATCACAAGTATTATGTATTCTCGTATCAAACTAAATAAGTCGCTAGAACTTATTATCTCCAATACCAAACCCTTTAGAGATCAAAGACTGTTTCTCGATGAAATTTTTATTTTGTTGTATTGAGAGTGATATTATATACTGTTGTTTAAAAATAAATAATTAATTTTGATACGAATTTCACCGTATTCACTTATTAATAGTCCCCCCCCCCTTATTTAGTTGTTGTTGATAATTAATTATTAATCCAATAAGATTTGACAATATATCGTATTTCTATTTTTGCTAATTGCAAACTTGAAAAATTTTGTTGTGTTCTATGACGTAATTATAAAGTCATGTTGTTTTCCAATGTTACAAGTCAAGTATTTAATGTTAAAATTTTGAGTTACGAAAAATTTTTTGAGAACCCTTCCAGATCGCTAGATCGGTATCGGGGTAGCAGCTTTTGTCATTTAATGTTGTAATAAGATTTTGTTTTGCTGAAATGATGCTGTATAGAAATTATTAGAGTTCAATTTTGTCGTGTCCCGATTTTAGAAGTACCTCAAAACTTTACACTGTTACTGAATTACAAACCCATATGTAAACTTATCATATTTTTTTTACTGTCAATTCATCTTTAGCATAAAAATTTACTTGAATTGTACATTGTTATTACTTGCTTTAAGTGATATGTCGAATAAGAGTCGATAGTGGAACGGAGCATTTTAGTCGATTAATAGTCGACCCACTGATATTTTACTGAAAATTTAGTTTTGCAATTTTGTTTATTGAATTCTTAAATACTAATTTTGATTTCGATAATTATTCTTTGACATGTGGCGGATTGACCCGCACACATGGTTTTAGAGAGGGTAGTTGTGACGTGACAATTTTGGCACGTCACATCCGAGTAAAATTGTCATTATTTAAATTATTAAAGTTATAAATTTTGACCTTTGACCCTCCTGTTGGACACTTTTAAAATTAGAATCTACGTTCCACAATTCGACTTCGACTAAAGAAATTTATTTTGTATTTTATTTATTGCCTTTGCTTTTCTTTTTTTTTGAGCGATTTTGGACTACGCTGTAAACCTCGACGCTGCTGACGGAACTTTACTGAAATTGGCCGTCCGAAAACCGATTACACTGACACTTGGCTGTTTGATGCTGTTCAATTACAATTTTGACGCCACTTTGGATGTTTGATTCCACCTTACTTGGCTGTTTGATGCTAATTTTGCTTTTTGCTGTACGTTTGCTGCACACATTACTTGGCTGTTTGATGGTAATTTTACTTTTGGCTGTACGTCTGCTGCACGCTTTACTTTGGCTGTTTTACGCTACTATGTTTTTTGCTGTATAATTCCAGCACGCTCTTGTTAACGCTAATTTCGCTATTCTGGATGTCTGATTCCGCTTGCACTTTGGCTGTTTTACGCTACTATGATTTTGGCTGCACTAGTATGCATTATTTATTTTGGCTGATTTGATGTCGCCATTACGCTCTTGGTTTGGCTTATCAACGTTTTGATGTTCGACTGCACGCTTATTCTCACACACACGAGTCGATGGACATCACCCCGCTGGTTGTTATCGTCAAATTTACCGTTGGACGTTCCAACTATTTCGCTGGCCTGAATAAGTCGCCGCGATTCTACTTCGAAAGCATCAAAAAAATTTTGGTGATTAATTTGGTTCACCAACCGACGGTATGACGACGCCAATTAAAGTTACTGTTCCGTAGTAAAAAGAAGAGTTCCAGAATCCAAAATTTGCAAAATCGCTCAATTCAATTTTCTAAATTTCTTTTATAGTAATTATTTTGAATTTCGTTATTTTAAGTAATTATTGTTTATTTTGCGTTATTCTAATATTTTTTACAGTTAAAATTATTTAAAATATTATATTTGCTGATTTTGTGTTACAGTTTTCAAAATACTTTAAATTCTGTCTTTTTGAATAATATAGTAATTTTTTATTTGAATCAAATTTGCCGCCACGGCGCCGCTACGAACATAATGCGCGCGCGAGCGCAATCAGCTTAGGTTAGATTTTCTATCCCGCCGCGACCGGCAAAAATTGTCGAAAACGTGCTCGACACTCATAGCGACGACCCGATAGCGACAACTTGTGTTTTTTTTTAAATTGTTCTCCACGACAAAGGTGTCCAAGACGAGGAAGCCGTTTTCCCCTACGAGGACAGGTCGCCTCCTGGACTGAGAAATGACGCCACTATTGACCGTTAAATTTCGCGTAATTTGATTATTTGTTATTATTTATCGTTTGTAATTTTGGTAATAGTCTAAAGGCGTTCATTTCTAAAAATTATTTATTGATCTTTTTTGCTGAAATTGTTGATTTTGTGAATCTCTTATGTGTCTCTCACCATTTTTCGTCATCGTTTCCCTCGCGTGTTCTTTATTGAAATTCGAGAAATATTTCGCAGTTTAGTTTAGAATTTTAGATTTCATAAGAATTGTGGAAAATAAAGGGTCGTTTTGAGTCCGATAATTTTTGTATTTGCGTTAATTTTATAGTAAACTATTCTATTGTAGAACTTTTGAAAATTCGCATTGAAATTCTAATCAACGATGTAAATTACAATTTCTTTTAAGTTTTGAGTCTTGTAAATTCTATCGATCGCGGAATAATGTCGCGTTATAAAAAATTGAATAATTTAATCATATATTTTGTCAAAGATGAATCTCAATATTTTATTATCGAAAACTGAATAAATTTAGTTGTTAATCTTAAAATGTCGTTTTATTGAAATTTTGCTGAAAGTTATTCTCTTTGGAAACCCTAACCCAAATGTTCTTGGTAATTTGCTAGCCGAAATGTGGTTTTATAATATGTGCCGGTAAACAATTTTCAAGCCCAATTTTGTTGGTAATTTGTTACGAGTTTTGCAGAATTTTGATTAATTGTAGTTGAAATAACGTTAATTTTGATTATTATTGTTATTGGATTATCCTGGTGGTCTCGTTCCTTTAAAATAATATTCCGTTTCAGTTTTGTAAAAAATCCCTTTTTTATAATTTTTGCTGACGTGGTTCACTTTTGAACCTGGCGCTCAACATTTTGTAATTTAGTTTCTTTTTCTTTAATTGAGCTTGAATTTTGTTTTTAAGGTGATCGCTTAAATCTTTATGGCAGAAAGATAGCAATAATATTTTGATTTTGCAGAAAATGGTCTTAGATTGTTGACTTGAAATAAAATAAATTTCATTTTGCCATTGCGAAATTAAAAATATCTCACAATGGCGCCCAACGTGGGGCGGCTGCCTAATTAAATCTAATGAGAATAAATTTCAATTATTTATTAACAAATGATTTGTATAATTGTTGAGAAAATTCTTTGTCTGTTGAAAATTTCAGAATAAAATTTGTCGGATAAATTTTATTTTCTGAACAAGGTTTTTGTCGAATTCGTTTCAAGGACAATCTTGTTTGTATTTTTATTTGTCCCTATCGCAAATCATAGACACAAAATAAGAGTTTTACAAAATTCGAATCTTTTCATGAAATATTATTTGACACCATGTGCTGAAATAAAACTTATATATAATTTATTATGTGAAATTATTTTATGTGATTGAATACTTGATTTCATTTATGATTTTGTTTATTGTTTCACTGAATTGATTATTGTTTGATCATTATTGTTACCTACTCCCGATTTAAACAAAATTTATTCAAAATTTTTGTGAATATCCTTTATCCTATTTTCGCGTTTCGAAATTGAATTTAATATTCTTGAACAAATAAATATGTGACTAATTAAATAAAAGCAATTTAGTTAAATGAATACAATTACATTCTATTTTTGATAATTTATTATTTTGGAAATTTAAATAATTTGTTTGTCATACAAAATGATTATATAACTCCAAATATTTTATTAAATTCTCTCGTTAAACATGTCTCCAAAAAGAATTCGCGAATGGGCTTATTCCCTTCGCAAAGTAGATTTAATTTCTGAATTAGAGTCACGTGGATTATCTATCGCTGGTATAGTCCCGGTTTTAAGAGAAAGACTTTTCAGATTTGAAAGAGAACGAAATAGTTCACCAGCTGATTCTGGTATTGGTTCTATTTCGCGAGAAAACTTACACACTATACAAGAGGATTTATTATCTGATTCCTCACAAAACAATAATGAAAATCCAAATGCTGGTAATTCAGCAACAGTTGCCGAAACTGAGGCAAATTTATTAAATCTTGAACTTCACCAGAATTCTAATTTGTCGCAGGAGCAAATTTCCACCAATCCCCCCCCTAACACTGTCTCTGAGTTAACACACACAATTACACAGCCTGTACCAACTAACACAGCTGTGGCCCACTCCCACCCTTCCTCTGTCATGACCACTGCTCCTACCTACACAGGCACGGTGCGTAAAGTCTCAGCTGATGATAATTCTAAATACGAGAATTATAATAACAGAGATAGAGAACGTAGAGCAGGAAATTTACAAAATAGAGATTTTACTCTCGAACAAAACCGCGCGATACAAACTAGAACAAACCGACGTAGTGAAACTCTACTTCGTTCAGAATTTAACAAATTATCGGTCGGATTAAACAACGTTAGTAGGAGACAAGAAACCACTCACCCCCCTCCTAAATTAAATTCATCTCGAGCGCGAAGGACCGATTACAGTAGGAACTCACGCTCAAGAACTCACGGATTTGAAAATAATGACAGATTTGAAAGACAAGATAGATCGATTAAACGAGACAGACGAACACTAGCGTTTGAAAATTTTGAACCAATTGACGATTATGACGATCAAGAATATTACACTGATCAATCGCGTTTAAGTATGGTTAATAATCTTTCGTCTCGAGAAAGAAACGAACAATCAAACGTTCGTTTTCAAGAGAATATTCGTTCGCCGATTTCAAATTATCGTGGTCGTCCAGATCAAATTTATGAAAATGACCCTTATTCAAATTATCGTGGTCGTCCAAATCAAAATTATGAAAATGACCCTTATTCAAATACACGTCAGAATCTCAGATTTTCCGATAATTATCCGTCAGACTCTATTGAGAGTTACTCTGACATTGGCGAAAATTTCATTCCCAGACAACGAAATTACAGAAATCGCAACGAAAATTATCGTCCTCGACGACAATATTATTGTGATAATATTATGTCGGCTTATGAAACTATGCGTAAATGGAAATTAAAATTTTCGGGTTCGAATCAAG